GTTGCTCGCAAAAGCCCGTTTGACAGAAATGTTTAAAAAGTGTTGGGTTTCCTACGAATCCGCAAGAGCGCGCGGGATGAGATTTTGACATTTTTTTGTTGAAAAACCATTGGTTTTTTGATGTTTTTATGTTGAAATCGTTCCGAACACTAAGCTTTTGGAAGGATTTCGTCTTGCGCGCGCGAATGTCCACTTTACCTTATTTTTTGCAAGGGATTCTTGAAATTTGATTATATTAGAACAAGAAATGTCATTTTATAGTGTTTTTTGCAAGGGAAAACGGATTACAACAAAACAACCGGATCCGGTGACAATCCACTTTTCTGAAGCTTTCGCTAGAAAATGAAGGAAATGAGGCTGCGGCCTAGGTTTTGGAGGGGGGTCGCGCACCAGGGGTCTCAACAATAATATTTCTTTAGAAGTAATAATATTCAACAACAACGACGACGACGACGACGACGACGACGACGACAACAACAACAACAACCACAACCACAACCACAACCACAACCACAACCACAACCACCACCACCACCACCACCACCACAACAACAGCAACAACGACGAAAACCATAACAACAGCAATAACAACAGCCACAACAACAACAACAACAACAACAACAACAATAACAACCACAACAACGAGAACAACAACAACAACAACAACAACAACAACAACAACATCATCAACAGCAACAACAACAGCAGCAGCCACAGCAGCAACAACAACAATAACAGCAGCAGCAAAGACAACAGCAACCACAACCATAACCACAACCACAACCACACTCACAACCACAACCACAACCACAACCACAACAACCGCAACAGCAAAAGCAACCGCGTGTCATTCAAAACGAGTTATCCACACTCCCTTTAGGGGGATGAATTATTTTTGCGGGGGGCGGCGGGCTTAGACAGGCGGGCAAACCTGAACGGGCGGACAATCCTTCGAGGGCGTACATGTGCCCGCCATTGGAATTGGTGTGGGCCCTGCAAAAAGAGGAGGGGGAGAACGAGGGAGTGGGAGGAAGGGAGGGGGAGGGACGAAGGAAGAGGGAAAACGCCGGGAGAAAAGGAGCGAAGGGGGGGCAGTTGATCACAGAAAGAAAGAGAGAGAGAGAGAGAGAGAGAGAAAAAAAAAAAAAAAAAAAAAACAGAGAGAGAGGAGGAGAGAAAGAGAAAGAATGAGGGAGGGAGGAGGCAGGAGAGGGGAAGGGAGAAGGAAGGAGGGGGAGGAGGGAGAAGGGATAGGGCAGAGGCAGAAGGATAAGAGAACAGAGGAGGGAGAGAGAAGGGAGGACAGGAGGGAGGAGAGGAGGGAGGAGGGAGGAGGGAGAGGGAGGAGGAGCCGGAAGGTAAGAGCGTGAACGTTCGAGGAAGTCCTAGGCGAAAGCGCCGTTCCTGAAGGAACTCTCGGGCGGGAACCCACGACGGGCGGGCGATCCCTTGACGGGCGGGTCAGGCGGGTGGGACATTCAAGCGGGATGCCTGAGTATGGCGAAAGCGCGATTACTAAGTAAATTGTAACGGCGTCCTTGGCGCAGCGTGTTTCCTGAGCGTCGAAAGCCCGATTCCTGAATAGATCGCATGGAAGTCACAAGCGAGAGCGCAATTCCTTAAAAAAATGCGAAGGGTTCACTGGCAGGAGCGGGGGTCTTGATTAAAGTGCGAGGAAATCTTGATTCAATTTCGAGGAAGTCTCAAGCGGGAGCGCCGTTCCTGGGTAAATTTAAGGATGTCTCACATGGGAGCGGGGGTCCTGACTAAATTGCGAGGAAGTCACAGGCGGGAGCACCGATCCTGAGTAAATTTGGAGGAAGTCTCAGGAGCGGGGGTCCGAGTAAATTCGGAGGAGGTCTCAGGCGGGAGCCGTTGTTGTTGCAATCCGGGGGGCCAGGGGCACAGTTTGAGCACCAAGACTTTCCTTGTCAAAAAACAGGGTGCGAGCCTCAAGGGGCACGCTTTGATTGAGAAAAACAACATGCACCGGTGAGGGGGGATCAAAATAGTTACTCTTCAGAAATGAGACTTCAACAACAAAAACAAAAACAATAACAAAAACAAAAACATAAATAACAAAAACGAAAACCCGTTTCCTGGGAATGTTCTGCAAAAAACGATACGAGGAAGGCGGGTCAGACATTTCCCGGACGTCACCAGGGGAGAGAAGCGCATCGGCGACGGCGGCGCTGCGAAGTGCAAAACTGTCGCCACTTTCGTGAGTTCCTAGGAGGCACGGCGGAAGTGAGGGCAGCGCAGATCCATTTAAGAACTCGCAGCTCCCTCGGGGGCTGCGAATTGCGTAATTAACCATCGCCACTTCTGTGGGCTCTTTGGAGACACAGCGGAGGTGAGGGCAGCGCAGATCCATTTGAGACCTCGCGGCTCCCTCGGGGCGCTGCGAACTGCGCAGCTGTCGCCGCTTTCGTGGGTTCCTGGATGGCACGGCGGGATGCAGGGTGCCCACATGGCGCGTGCCCACATGGAGCGTGGCGCCGTCTCGTCATTTAGCACGCGGCGCTGCTGCGTCACAGAGCGCAGAGCGCCAGAACGTTACGTAACGCACAGCGCTGTCCTCACTCGCCCACTCCTGTCCAGATTTGCGAAGCGCGTAGCCCGACTTTGTCGAGCGAAATATTTCAGACTGCTGCGTAACTCGCATTATGTGCTTCTGTGTGGAAAGTTAATAGAAATAGTCGCCTCGCGTGGAACAGAAACTGCGCACGCTTCAAGCAATCTTCCTGGCCACCTCGGGGGGGAGGGGCCGGTGGGGCCGAGAGATCCTGGCCCAGTAGGCACGGGGATCGGTTGGACGATGCCGAGGTCCTGCTCCTCCGGGTCGCGCGCCGTGGCGATGCCCCGCCCGGCGCGCGCGCGCGCCGCGGAGGGCGCGGGGCGGGCCCCGGCAGGTGGCGGTGGAAGCGCGCAGGGACCCCGCGGCGACTGGGCGGGGGCGTCCACGCCGGGGCCGTGTGCGGCAGGGCACGGCGGCCTGGCGCGGTGGCTCGCGCTCGCCGCCGGCGCGGCACACCACGCAGAGAAGGTGGCGCCTGCGCGCGAGCTGACGCGGGCAGGTCGCGCGCCAGTGTCCGCGCGGTCTGACCCCCCCCCTGTCCCACGCCGCTCGCTTGTTGAACCATGGCCATGGTGCCTGCCTTGCCATCAGGGTTTGGATCGCGGCCAGCTCAAAAATGCCACCACCGAAACAGCGCCGGGTGGTGTTTTGCTCTTTCCCTACCTTCCTGTGTTGGATTCTAGCTTTAAATACTGCACTGCTCACGCGTCTTCCGCACCCCCTCCTCCCCCTTCTCCTCTTCCTCCTCCCCCTGCCTCTTGCCTCATCCTGCACTGCTCCCTGGGAGGCCGAGAACTGCGCAACTGCCGCCGCTTGCGTGGGCTCCTGGGAGGTCCAGCGGAGTCGAGGGCCACGCAGATCCAGCGGGGGCCTCGCTGCTCCCTCGGGGATCTGCCAACTGCGCAGCTGCCGCCACTCTCGTGGGCTCCCGGGAGGTTCAGCGCAGTGAGGGGGGGCGCCGCAGATCCAGCGGGGACCGCGCAGCTCCCTCGAGGGGGCTGCGAAGTGCGAAACTGTCGCCACTTCCGTGAGCTCCTGGGAGGCACGGCGGAGGTGAGGGCAGCGCAGATCCATTTGAGACCTCGCTGGTCCCCTCGGGGGGGCTGCGAAGTGCAAAACTGTCGCCACTTTCGTGAGTTCCTAGGAGGCACGGCGGAGGTGAGCGCAGCGCAGATCCATTTGAGACCGCGCGGGTCCCCTCGGGGGGGCTGCGAAGTGCAAAACTGTCGCCACTTCCGTGTCGCCACTTCCGTGAGCTCCTGGGAGGCACGGCGGAGGTGAGGGCAGCGCAGATCCATTTGAGACATCGCGGCTCCCTCGGGGGTGTGCAAAGTACGAAACTGTCGCACCTCGCGGCTCGCTCAGGGGGGCTGCGAAGTGCGAAACTGACGCCACTTTCGTGAGCTCCTGGGAGACACGGCGGAGGTGAGGGCAGCGCAAATCGTGCACATCTGGCGACGTGTTCTGGTATGGAGCGTTGGTACAAGTATTCGCATCGCGTGGAGAAGGGGTTGGGTACGTTTCGGGTAACTAAGCGCGGAAGGAGGGAATGCTGCATCCCCATCTTCGCTCCCCGATTCCAGCTTCGCTTCACGTCCTCCATCCTTCCTCGTACCGCTGCAGCAGCGTCAGGGCGCAAGGAAATGACAAAGTGAAGATTATCAGCGTCGACCCAGCAGAGAACTATACCAACTTGACTTGAACGCAGACTGAAGCCCGACACACGCGTAGGAATGCAATAGGATCCTGCATTGACGACGTCGGCCTCAGTTTCCGGCACCGCGCGAGCCGTTCAACCGTGAACGCTCCCCGCGCTCAGTAACCCCCAGAGGCGCTCGATCCGCACTTTCGTGCGGAGTTCCCGTCACGGATTGCTTGCTTTATGTCGGGCGTCCCCCTACATGGGGATTTTCGACGAAAATAAAAAAATACCCCGAAAATGCCCCCAAAAAAACAAAAAATACCCAGAAAATTGTCCCCAGACTATGTTTGGACTATTTGTCTTACTGTGCTTGGAGCATCTTTTGTTTCTCGTCGAAGATCCCCCTGTAGGGGGGCAGGCCCGACTTGATGCTTGCTGTGGGTCCCGGGGGCCTGGAACGGCCCCCACGTGTTGTTCGATCTGGAGCGTCGGCGCGCCAGCGTCGCCGCCGCGCCGGCACGGCACGGCTGGTCAGGCGGGGCCGCTTCTCCTTCGCTCCTCGGGCTCCCTGGTCCTCACGATGCGAGGAGGAGAAGGAGGAGGAGGAGGAGCAGGAGCAGGAGGGGAAGGAGGAAGAGGAGGAGGAGGAGGAGGAGGAGGAGGAGGAGCAGGAGGGGAAGGAGGAAGAGGAGGAGGGTCCGTAGCCATTCTGGCTCAGGCCGCTGCTCCCCGACATCTTGGCTCTATATGCTTGCTCATGCCGCCTCGTTGGTGTTTGGGATGGCGACGGCAGGAGGCCCACCGAGGCTTCCTCGTGGTGTGCGTCGGCGGGAGGCTGCAGCAACCGCCCAAGTTAAGTTCACAGCACTGCAGAACAGGATCATCGAGCTGGAGCAGCAGGGGCGCATGTGTTCGGACGCTGATGTCTACTGCCGCCTGCTCGCCATCATGCCTGTCCTGGCCGAGGTGTCCGCGCGCCGCCGAAGCGACACGGCGGTGAGTTCGCGGCTGGAGGTCGTCATGCGCAACGTTGCCATGCACATGTTCGACGTTCCCATGGGCTGGTTGCAAGGCCTCACGTACAAAGACCAGACTAGGGCGCAGCGGGGCGGCCGCGGGCAGGGGCGGCGGGGCGTGCCGATCGTGGAGTCGACCCTGAGTGCCTAGGTCGTACCGTTCGTCCCGCTCAGGCTCGAGCCCCTGCCTGCAGGTGGATGCCAGGAGGTCCTGTCGTGGATCGGCTGCCATCTGCACGTGCGGCGCGACCTGCTCCTCGAGCGGCTCGAGGAGCCCGAGGCCGCCGCCTGTCGAAGGGCCCCCTGCGGGGGATGGCTGCCCTGCCGCTGCCGCAGCTGCCGGAGGCTGCTGCTGGTGACCAGGCTTTGTCCGAGGTGGAGGTCACTTCGGAGATGTCCACTTTCGACTCCGCGGAGTTCACACACCCCAGTGGCCTCGGTGACGCCGAAGCCGCGGCGGCCGTCGCTGCTGCGGAGGAGCACCTGCTCTGGGTCGCCCAGCCTGTGCGGGAGCTCCTGCAGGTGCGCTCCGCCGAGCAGCCGTGCGTGCCGACGGAGCGGCCCTACGCACGTCGCCGCGCGCGCCGCGACGAGGAGGAGCACCTGCTCTGGGTCGGCCATCCTGCGCAGGAGCTCCTGCAGGTGCGCGCCGCCGAGCCGCCGCTCGTGCCGGCGGAGCGGCCCTTTGTCCGTCGCCGCGAGTGGAGGGCGTCGGAAGGCACTGCTGGAATCCGTGGCATCGGGCCGCCCTCGTGCGCAACCTGTAAGCAGCAGTAGTCCCGCCCTCACTTGTGAAGAGTTGGTTGTTTTGTTCGCAGGCTGTTGCATGAGTCGTTGTGCTATTGTTCTACGGTTACCGTGTGAGGCTCCCGCTACACGTTTGCTGCATATGTCAGTGGTCGTTGTGTTATCTTGTGGCATGCTTTCGGTGCTCTCCTCTGCCTGCATCATGTTCGTCATCGAGGGCTACTGGCTCAAGGTATCCGAACTCGGCAGGTTTGTGGAATCGTGTGATCTTTGTATGAGTGTGCGCACGCCTTATGCAATGTAGTTCAGTGCCCCATTTTGTGCCACGTGTTGCAGCAGCGGGACGTGGTGCGCCAAGGACCTAGAGGACCTAGAGGAAGAGGAGGAGGAAGAGGAGGAAGAGGAGGAAGAGGAAAAGCAGGAGGAGGAGGAGTAGGAGCAGGAGAGGAAGGAGAAGGCCCAGGTGAGGCCTGCATCAACTTCAGCGCCTTCCTGTAGTCCCCGCGCGAGCGGCTCAGGAACCGGGTCGCCATCGACGCGACCGAGGGGAAGAACCTGTGGTCGCCCCACGCTGGGTCGTGGCTCGGGCCTAAGGCCCAAAGAGTGAAACCTAAAGAATGGCCACACCCGCAGGATGGAACTCACTCTGCTCTGTCATCCTCCTCCTTACTCCTATTCCTACTCCTCCTCATCCTCCTCTTCTTGTTGTCCCTGGTACGTGTCTTAGTCTGGTTGTTAGCACCAATAAAACTCTTTTTGTTGGAAGTACTTGTTGTGTTTATGCTCCATCTCCTGCTCTTGCTCAACCTCCTCATCCTAATACTGGTCCTCCTCCTCCTCTTCTTCCTCCTCCTCCTCTAACTCCTTTTCACTCGCTCACTCGCTCCCTCTCCTCCTCCGACTCCCACTCTTCTCCTGCTCCCCGTCATCCTCCTCCTCCCCTCCTCTCATCATGTGCTTCAGGGCTGCCAGTGCACGCCAGATCGAACGCTGCGACCACACTCCCAGCACCAAGAAAAAAGTCAAGCACGATCGGGAATTCTGCTCAATCCCACGGCGGCGCCTAGCTGCCACAGAGCTCGAGGTGTCTGGCACCACCAAAGGGACTTGAAATCCATAATCCAACCTCCTCCTCCTCATCATCCTCCTGTTCCCTCATCCTCGTCCTCACCCTCATCCTCATTACATCCTGTTCCTCCTCCTCCTCCTCGTCCTTGTCCTCCTCCTCCTCCTCTTACTCCTCTTCCTCCTCATCATCATCATCCTCATCCATAGCCGCCATCGTCGTCGCCGCCGCCACCCCTTCTGCCTCCTCCTCATCATCATCATCCGATTATCCCTGGTATGTGTGTCTTAATCTGGTTGTTTGCACCCAAAAAAAGAACCACTGCTGGTAATAGTATGTGGTATTATGAGTATTCCGATTGTTCTTACAACTAGTATTGGCATGAGCAGTGGTCTTAGCCTCCGAAAATTATGAATGGTAGTCATCGTAGTGTTGGCCTTATTACACTTAGTAACTTGATTTGCCGTCGTCTTATCATGCTTCTATACTTTTGTTAGTAATAGCCATAATGTTATGATTGACCGTAATATTCTTATTCTTAGTGTGTTTTATTGTTCTGTGTCATCACATGTTTCGCGTTATTAGTACTTCATGGTTGCTAACAGTATGGTTAGTAGTTGATCCGACCATTCTTCTGAATATGTATAACGACCCTGATCGTCGTAGTAGTCTTGCTGCTCATATGGTTAACCAAGGTAGTGCTAGTACTGTGAGTAATGTTGGTACTACTGGTAGTGATCGCCGCATTCCTAGTACTGTTATTATTGATACTATGACGACTGTTCTTAATCTTGGCAACATCAGGGTCATCCATCGGATGCTGATTATTCTTAGTGGTCTGGGTAACAATATTCGGACGGGGCACGTGCCTTAGCAGCCGTGGTATCATTAGTATTCGAGTATACCATTTAGTTCAGAGTTTGATTACTCGTATTCTTAGTGCCAGTGCCAGTATTGCTAGTAGTATTAGTATTGGTAGTACTACTAGCCTTCGTAAAACTAATAGTATTCTGAATATTCATACTGTTTGCATCGGTTGTACTATTCGTGCGCTTCCTAATATGATTCGAAAATAGATGCGTGCTTTAAAGGCGTTCTGAATAGATGCTTCTTACTATATGTGGAACTCTTAGTACTACCCACCTAGTGGATCTTAAGAATGGTATGAGCACATGACATAGCATCACTACTGTTAGTAGTGTTGTTAGGTTCACCCTTATCATGGTTGGTAGTATGTGTAATACTGCGTTGTTCGTCTGGTTATTCCTCGATGTCCTCTTTCGCCGTCGACGCCACCATCGCCGTCGCCGCCCCTCCGCCTCCGCTTCCGCCTCTGCCTCCTCATCATCATCCTCTTCCACCTCCACCTTCTCCTACTCCTGATCCTCCTCATCTTCATCCTCCTCCTTCTCCTCATCCTCCTCCTCCTCCGCCCCCTCCTCCCCCTCCTCCTCATCCTCCTCCGACTCCTCTTCCTCCTGCTCCTCCCCCCCTCCTCCTCCGCCTCCTCCTCCTCCGCCTCCTCCTCCTCTTCCTCCTCCTCTTCCTCCTGCTGCATGACATGTCATTATAAATAACTGTTGCCTGTCGCACCCCGGGGTCAGTTGTTAGGGCGGGCCCTGCGTTTCGCCTGAGATTTCCTCACCACTCGTGACTCTGAAGCCAACAGCTTCACAGATGGGGTGCGGGTGATTTTCAAAATGTGGCGTTCGCCTTAGCGCCGCGCACACTCGTTTCACAATTCGCAAGAGCTTCACGGAATGAGGGCGAGTGGCTTTCAACATGTGGCTCTCGCCTTAGCGCTGCGCACCTTCGTTTTAAACATTCAAGAGCTTCACGGAATGCGGGCGGGCGGTTTTCAAAATGTGGCTCTCGCCTTAGCGCCGCGCACATTCGCTTTAACATGTTGCAAGAGCTTCACGAATGGAGGGCACGTGGTTTTCAAACTGTGGCTCTCGCCTTCGCGCCGCGAACAGTCGTTTTCAAGATTTGCAAGGGTTGCACGGAGTCCAATGATCAACTCACCAGGAATGGTATGTTGGGCGGGTTCAGGATTGTGCAGGTGCAACAGGTATGTTGCTTCGCTGTGTTGAAGGCCCAAAAACGGCGTTCTGGCACGATTGTATATCGTCACGACGCAGCAGTCAGGTTGATCCGTGGCGTTGAAATCCCGAGAACAATGTGTTGGCATGCCTCATGGTCTTCAAACGGTCGTCCTTCACCTTCAACGAGGCAATTCACCTTATGTAAATGAACCGTTGCAGGGGCCTACGAACAGGGGCCTTGGAGGGAGGCTTAATTCCAACACCGTTGAGAACTCTTGGGTTTACACTGGTCCTCCTCCTCCTCCGCCTCCTCCTTCTCCTTTTCCCTTCCTCCTCCTCCTCCTCCTCCTCCACCCTTTCCTCCTCCTCCTCCTCCTCCTCCTCCTCCTCCTCCTCCTCCTCATTCTCCTCATCCTCCTGCTCATACTCCTCATCCTGCTCCTCCTGCTCCTCCTCCTCCTCTTCCTCCTTCCCCTCCTCATCCTCCTCCTCCTCTCCTCCTCCTCCTCTCCTCCTCCTCCCACCTCCTCCTCCTCTCCACCTCCTCCTCCCTCCTCCTCTCCTCCTCCTCCTCCTCCTCCTCCGCCTCCTCCTCCTCCTCCCACTCCTCTTCCTCTCCTCCTCCCATCCTCCTCATCCTCCTCCTCCTCCTCCTCCTCCTTCTCCTCCTCCTCCTCCTCCTCCTCTTCCTCCTCCTCCTCATCCTCCTGGTATTGTTATTAGTGTTCGTCTTCTTCGCATTCGTGTAGTATTAGTATTTCAGTGGTATGCTTAGTATTGCTAGTTTTCTTCTCAATATGAGTCGTAGTAGTACCCGTCTTGATAGTATTACTATTCCTATTATTGTTCGTATGATTCGTCCTCTTCTGGTTAGTGGTCGTATTATTCGAATTGGTATGTGTAGTAGTCGAAGCATTCGGAGTCCTAGTAATATTCATAGTATAGTGAGTAGTAGTGTTCTTATGATCCGTTATAGTGTTATTATTCGTCTTCGTAGTGTTATGCATTATTCGTATTATCATTCGTTTTCTTAGTAGTATTAGTATTGTTCGTCTTACTAGTACAGTTAGTTTGGTTGTTAGTTGTCGTAGTAGTGTTATTCGTATTCGTCTTCGTATTTTTATTCGTTTTCGTAGTAGTAGTAGTAGTAGTAGCATGTGTTATTAGCATTCGCAATGTTATTAATAGTATCATTCATAGTCCGCTTCCTCCTCCTCCGCCTCCTCCGCATCCTCCTTCTCCTCGTCCTCTTCCTCTTCTTCATCTTCCTCCTCCTCCTCGTCCTCCTCCTCCTCCTTCCTCCTCCTCCTCGTCCTCCTCTTCCTCCTCCTCCAGCTACTGCTCCTCCTGCTCCTCCTGATCCTCCTGCTCCTCCTGCTCTTCCTCCTCATCCTCATCCTCCTCCTCATCCTCCTCCTCCTCCTCCTCCTCCTCCTCCTCCTCCTCCTCCTTCTCCTCCTCTTCCTCCTCCTCCTTGTCCTCCTCCTCCTCCTCATCATCATCATCCTTCTCCTCTTGCTATTGCTCCCCCACGCGTTCCCCGAAGGCTTTCCAAACCTTTTCGGGGAACAACTGTCCCGATAGCTTGACCAAGTTCTAGCCCAGCTGTCGGCCATATAGGCACTTCCAAAAGAGCAGGGGCGGCGGTGATTCGCCGTAGGCGTCTTCGATACAAGAGTTCCACTGGTTCGCACGGCTAACGTACCAGAAACTATGGTTGGAACGACTCTGGATTTTCAAAACGCGACAGTTACGTTGAATCGAGGTGTTGAAGTCCCAGGAATTGTGTTCTGGCACGGTTCGAGATCGTAAAGACGCAACAGTCAAGGTGACTCGTGGTGTTGAAGTCGTCAGAATGGTGTTTTGGCACGCTTCCGGGTCTTCACACGGTTGTCTCCCAACGGGGCATTTCCCTCAGG